TAGGCAGATGTGGATTGTGACCTTGTAATCAATGCTGCGCAACGCCGAGTGGGTAACTTCATGTCTCTGAGGCTCAGTTCTCTCTCCTGCAATGGGGCAGGGGTGGATCCTGGTCCCCGAGGTGCTGTGAGGATTAGGGAGTGAATTCACAGACAGTGCTGACTCTGTGCCCACGTGTGTGAGTCTACGGAAAGTGGTGGCTACCGCCACTATTACTGTTGTTGTTACATTCTCCCTGTTGGCTGCATTTTTCTGCAGTCATGCTGTGTAGACACTGCCTCAGTCTTGAGGCAAGATAACTCCCAGGCCCCCCCACCCACCGCGGGGCACGGAGCCCTTTGGGGGTGCTCAGGAGAGAAGTCCTCTTGCTTCCACAATTCTCTTTGGTTCTGTCAGGACAGAGCAGCCTGGTGCCTGGTGACAAGAATGCAGGTGAGAGCCGAGGAGGGCACCTCTGGGGTCCCACTCAGCCAGTGCCCCGTGGCTGCATCATGGAGGCACGCATCCAGAGGGGTGGGCAGTGCTGAGCGTGCCCCTCAGCCCACCCAGAGACCCCTGGAAAACCACCCCTGGCTTCCCTCTGCAAATCCACTCCCATGAGGCGGTTCCCCACTCAGGGCCGGAGGACCAGCGCACACAGCACGTCAAAACCAGATTAATAAACCACTTGCATAATTTGAGAGGGAAAAAACTAATGAGATTTATTTTTAATTAGTCCTGGAACTATCGTGCCTCCAAGTTTTCACTTGGAGTGAGGCTGCTTATTACATTTCTCTACACTGGTCATTCCTGAGACGACAGGCAACTCCTAGGAAAGCCCACACTCAGAGGAGCCGCCCGAGGGAACCCAGCCTGGGGTCCCGCAGCCAATGCATGGGTGTCACACCCATCTGGGGCTGAGGTGGGGAACGCAGCCCCCCAGCCTCTCAGGAACTGAGCAGCAGCTGCCTACCTCCTGTACACACAGCAGACCCGCTGGACCTTGGAGTGCAGCCCCAAGGCGGGGCTGGCGGAGGGGCAGTGAGGGAAAGGATGGAGCGCACTTTGGGGCAGCCGATAATGAAACGATTGGTTAGCCTCGGTCAGGGGCCACCGAGGGGACATCCCTGCCTCCCATTGCATGTTAGGACTAGACGTTTGCTGACGCATTTCTGTGATGGTCCATTTTCTGTGTCAACTTGACTAGGCCACCAGCTACGCAGACATTTGGTCCAACATTGTTCTGGGTGTATCTGGGAAGGTGTTTCTGGATGAGATTAACACTTAAATTGATGGACTAAAGGGATGGTCCTCCCCAGTGTGGGTGGGCCTCATCTAATCCTTTGGAGGTCTGAAGAGAACCAAAGGCTGAGGGAGGGAGAATCTGCTCTCTCTGCCTGACTGTCTTTGAGCTGGGACTTCCGTCTTCGCCTGGCTTTGCACTTCATTGGCTTTCCTGGGTCTCCAGCTTGCCCAGTGCAAATCTTGGGACCTCTTAGCCTCCGTAATTGAGTGAGACAATTCCTTACAGATTTATATACTGTTTCTCTGGAGAACTCTAATGCAATCTCCTCTCTGAGCCTGCACTGACTGGCTCTGAATTTGAATCACCAGCAGTGTGCTCTAGAAAACAAATTGCACATGTAATGAGGTCCTAACCAGCCCAAGGTAATGCTTCAAAGAGGAGAGAGGTTCGGTCTCCCCGGGGTGGGTGGCGATCAATGTCTGCCCCGCAGGAGCCAGGGTGGGGCAGCCTCTAGGATCTGAGGGTCACTGGGCGCTCCTGGGGTCCTCCCGGTGCCTCCCTGCAGCCCCGCATGGATCTGGCTGGAGCTCAGGGGGCAGCAGAGATGTTCTGGCTACCTGCAGGCTCTCCCCAGCCCCCAGGTGTTCAGAGCAACCTGCCTGGTGCATCTACTCAGCACCGCTCTAACAAACAGGTGTTCGCGGAAGAAGAGCAGTAATTGAGTTAATGTAGTGGAGTTAAAAAAGGAAAGTGGTTTTTATCAGTCCATGTTATATGATCAAGACTTCTTATAAAGATGGAGTGGATAGAAAAATACAGAGAATGTGGTACCTCAGATCCTGGCCAATTAAAACATATTTATTACACATTGGATTTTTAAATGTGCTCATACGGCTCCATTATAGAAAAACTTCGAAAGATGGCATTTTGGAAAACATGTATTCTATTTCATAGACTGCTGTCCTCTGGCCACGTCACTTGGAAATACAAGAACACAGAGAGCACGAGGACCGCAGTCCAGGACATCCCCACCACAGGAGCCCCGCATGATCTCATCTATTAACAAATCACTTGATTTTGATTTTTAATTACTCGTGTAATCTACACCTTTCCATTGTCATAGTGGATATTTACTTTGGTGATTTATAACATGCAACACTTTCTGTTCTATTTAAATGCACAAGAGTAAGCATTTTCCAACTTCTTTGTTCTTTGATAAAAAGGAAATTGATCTTTATCTGGTTATCACACTGCCTTTTAAACACTGCAAATGCTGTTTCTGAGGGGGGCTGGTGGTGTGATGTTTCCATGGCTTCTTTCATTTTCTCCCTTATTCCGGGAAGTTTCCGGAATGCCTCCGTCCACAGCCCTGACTTGCTTCTCTCAGCGTCTCCAAACACTGTTGGTCACAAATGTCAGAAGTTTGTGAAGCAGAAGTTTGGAAAAAATAATCTTTCCCAAGCTTTAAAACGTCCCAAAGCAGTATCCATTTGCTTCCACCCAAGTTCAGCAGGACTTCTGCCGGCTGCGGGGCTAATTTACCCCGAAATATTCCGTGGAGTGTCCACTCTTATGCACAGGCCGGCTGACGGGGGTCGGGGCCCACAGGGTCAGCAGACTCCCAGTTGGGAAGCACTGCCCCCTCTTTCCTGACCCACACTCCTCAGCAGGGCTGACTCCACCCAGGGAGAGCCAACCACCGGCCCCAGTAAACCTGGCCAGGGGCCTGTGTCTACATTAAATACAAGGACAGTATCCTAGGACACGCCTGGCCAGATCTCCACATTCCTGTGGACAGCCTAACGGCGGATGCCCTGGTGGACTGCCTCCCGTGCCCTGGCAGTCTGTGGGTCCCCCCCAACCACCACCACAACCCAAGGGGACCCGGCCCCAACCTGGGGAGGAACTGGAAGTTGGCCTGATCTGAGAAAGCCCCATGTTTGAGCTGCCTCACCCTGAGCCTCATCACTGGGAAGACCCCACTGAGGACGGCACACTGGTGTCAGTCTCTGAGGATGAGGAAGCAAGCCATGCACCTGTCTGGCAGAGAAGTGCAAAGACCCTGAGGCAGGAACTCAGGGACCCCTCCCGGAGCTCCTGGGGAGGGGTGTCTTTCATCCACAACCAGGAATCCAGCACCAGCAGCCCGGCTGCCGTGCTGTGGCTGCCGATGGGTCCATGTGTTCAGGTTGCCTTTCCAAAAGTTCCACACGTTCCCTGGGGAAGGGGCCACCTTCCCCCCTGCACTTGTTCCCTCTGTGCCACCCAGCTCAGTGCACGGACTATAGCGGGAGGGTCACTCACTTATTCTTGCATTCATTCTGTCAGTCCACCTTTCTGATAAATTGATCATGCCCCTACTATGTGTAAGGTGCTCTTGTAAGCCCTGGGGTTCTAGCAATCACAGCAATTAAGAGGACGGACAGCATCACCACCATCATGTCCTACTGGGTGGGAGACAAAGTGCGTAAGGAAATGAACAACTGAACTCACAAGATCATTTCAGAAAGTGTTAAGTTTATGAAGAAGATAAAGCAGGGAGCGAGTGTGAGGGATATTTTAGACAGGGCAGTCAGGCAGGGTCTCTCTGGAGAGATCACACTGAAGCTAAGCCCCCAGAGACCACCTGGGGGAAGAACATTCCAGGCGGAGGGGGTGGTGGGTACAAAGGCCCTGCCGCAGGGACGAGCACTCTGCACTGAGGAACAGGAAAAAGGCAGCGGGGCTGAAGAGAGATGATGAGGATGAAGAAGGGGGCAGATGGGATCAGAACCCCTGGGATCCGAGATCCAGGAAAGTGGTGGAATCTGCTGCCTAATTTTAGGAGAACCCTCTTCGGCCTGGGAGTACTCCATGAAAGGAAAAGTGATGCCGGATGGGGAGGGGCAGTGGCCGCGCTGGAGCGCGCCCCAGGCTATGGATAAAGAGCACAGCCAGGGGCCCACTGCCACCTGCCTCAGGGCTGCTCTCGGTGTCAGGGAGATTTGCAGGCACCAGGTGAGGTTCCAGGTGAGGGGCTCGTCGTCTTTAACCGCGCGCTGCACACTAGGCCCGTATGCACTAAATAGCCTGCACAACCCTGAGCTTTATTGATTTCTTGGGAAATAGACCACAATTATTTTTGAAAATAGATGGCATATTTGTCTATCTTCTGAAGCAGCTCATACTCCAATAGATAAAGTGTCAGGAGAAAAATCAAAGAAAATGGAGGTGTCCATATCTCAGATAGATTTTTTTTTGTATTGGCAACATGCATACAACTAGCAGAAAAGCTAAAAAGAACCACGACTGAGGGACAAGGCAGAGAGACCAAGAAAAGTCCCCATTACAGGGGGCTAGGATGACGCCAAAACAGGAGAAATGACGGAGTAGTCTAGCGGCCATTTCCCCTTGTTTGGTTAGGAGCACCTCAATTTTCTTTTGAGGAGACCCAGCAGAGAGCCACCCATGCTCCATTCCGTGTAGGGTGAGGGGGCTGACTCCATCTGTCCAGTCCCAGAGGTGGGTATGTAACCCCGGCTGGGCCGAAAGCCAGCCCACCTGGACGGAAGGGGAGCGGCACCTTCCTTTTTCTACTCAGAGTCTGTGCTGGGTTCCCGCCACCTGCACCTGAAAGACTCCTGGTCACCGCAGCAGGGAGGGAGGAGCTGCTTCGGGACAGCAGAAGGAAGCCGTCAGCAAAACATCCCAGCACCTCACGCAAAGCATCACCATGCCAGACAGGAGGTCCCGGGCCTCCTCTGAGCTGGGTACCCGGACGCACCGGGTCTCTCACCTGTGTGTATCCTCAGGTGGACCTTCAGGTGATGGGATGTCCGGAAGGTCTTCCCGCAGTACGGGCAGTCCTTCATGGCCGAGCCCAGGCTCCTGTCGCGAAGCAGCGCTGGCTGCTGGACGCCGGCGGATCTCCCAGCCTCCTCGCCGATGTCTGCAGCGGAGGAGAAACGTTCTCACATCACTTCAGCACATGTCAGAAGTTGTTCGCACCAAAACTGCTAACACCACACAAAGTTAAACATGTCAATACTACACCTGTCTATTTCATTCTTTAAATCTGACAGAATGCTGACAATTCATGTATTTTCTTGTTATTCTCTTAAATTATTTCATCTTTCCTATCATCATTTTAAGCAGCATATGGTACCTTTATATTGAACTGAATTACACAAGAAAAGAAACAGCTGTGTCAGCAGCTGGTTTGATTTCTTCTTTTGCTTAGCTCCTATTAAATAGTTTTTTTTCCAAAAGTTTAAAAATGTTAGTGTTTGTTGAATCTGATTAATTTATAATATGGACTAGCTAGAGAGTTCGCCATAGGATCGAAATCACATTTGCATTATATCCGGCAACAAATGAAAAAGATGTGTCTCGGCTGAGTCCCTAAGACATGCAGACATACGGCTATTTTGGGACAGGAAAGACAATTATCCAAAACCGATCATTTCTTTCTTGTAGAGTCTTGTATCCATCGCTAGCTGGTGTAATCTCATGAAAGGGAGAAGAAAAAGTATGGAAATGCAGTTCCACAATTGGCCCATGATAAACATATAGTGACATATTCAAAGTCATGTGCAGAAACTCAGCTGCAGAACCCCCATAAACTTAGAGCACTGCAGTTAAATCTTCGTGCAGTGACTTGAGAACTTCCTCTGTAAAGTATCAATACAAATTTTCCTTCCTGCTGTTATTTGTTGTGTAACCCAAACCATTAGAAAACAGAATAAAATTTACATACGGCTGCCTTCTGCACAGAAATGATGGGACATAATAGTAAATAAAACTGTGAAAATATCTAGTGGTTGGAGGATACGTTACTGCAACCCCCGAGGCCTGACATCACACTGCCGAAGAGGAGACATCAGGGGAGCAAGGCAGGAGCTGGGAATCTGCATCTCCGGGCAGGGGAGGCACGAGCCTTCTTCTCTGGACTCAATTTCTTCCTGCCTTGCAGGCCGCCCTGCACAGCTGGAGGCTGACCGCCTGCCACAGAACCCAAGGTCCTGAGGCTGGCAGGTCTTCGTCCTCCCCACAGCCTTCAGCCCACCCTCTGGGCCTCACGATAGATGCACTATGAGAAGAAAGGGACCTTCGGGGATAACAAGCCGACCTGCGAGTTCTGCAGAGAGTGGAATAAACAAGATTTGTACCTTCTAAGCAATGGAAAATGCAAATTGCTTTTATTTTGCAACATCCGTTCCTGGTATTCTCTGCTAACAGGCAAAAGGGACAGACTTATAGGCCATGAACAGGCTGAAGGCACACCTACTTAATTCTTATTTGGATGTTTGCTCCGAGCAACCGTGGGAACGCTTTGGCTTGGAGCATCCTCTCTGCGTTTGGACTATGCAGGACGATATCGTCACCCTGGAAAAGTTCTTTGAAGGCTCACTTTTCATCCTATTCTCCCAACTCTTCTAACCCTCCCTGGAAGAGCTGGTCACAGGGTCTAATTGCCTAGCATTTTTTTCTCATAATTTTGCACAGGTAGGAAGACAGAGTTCATCCACATCTAGAACTCACCCTGCCTAGACCTAAGTTTGTGGTCGTCCACACGAATGTGGAAAGGTGACCAAAGATGGCTACTGATAGGGCAAACAGGCACAAGAGAGTATTGCAATGTCACAGCAAACAGCGTCCCACGTGCAGTCACAGCAGGGCACACCACATCCTGCAGGTGAGGCCAGTAGGGTCGTAAAGAGCCAGTTTGCCAACAGCCCAGGAGAACACGGGCCAGATGCCAGTCCTAGTCAACCACATCCAAGGTTTAAACAGCTGGAATGCCACCTCCTACCCACCTTCTCACCCCCACCCGCCCCAACCTCAAACACGTTACATTTGCCCTCCTGCCATCACTCGGCTTTCCTTTTGTGGGGTCATGAGGTCAGCTGAAAACAGTGAGTCTGATAAACTTCTGCCCAAGTGCTCCCTGCAACATAGTTAAGATAGCCTATTTACACTAGGAGGCCCATAGCTGTCAATCTGAATTACAAGCAGAGCTCAGTGCCCCGGATGTTGGCTTCAGCACAGAGCGGGCAGGCGTGGACTTCTGCTCTTCACTGCAGGGCCTCAGGTTCCATGACCCTCACATGAGCACCTTCCGCAACTCTTCCTCCAGCGGCCCACCGTGAGCGCTAGCAAGGTGGGGCTGTGCACAGAACAGGACAGAGAGAGCGTGGAGGACATATTTCCACCGCAGCGCTCGGTGAGTCCTCGCCCAGGGCGCGTGATAGATAAACACATAGACGAGGCCGGCACGCCGCTGGACAAGGCTTTACAGGAGTTGAGGACGAGCTGCGCCGCGCTGCATGTCACTCCAAGTGATGGCCTAGATCTGTTCTCCTTTTATCTTTCTATCTGGGATATGTGTGGCCCAATAAAAAGAATAAATTTGTAAGATAAACAGCTTTCTTTGCAGATTTAAGAGTCTAATTTTCACTTTACACAGAAATGTTTTTTTTCCTGGAGGGCCAGAGGCCTATGGCGTTTACTCTTAGACTAATCCAACTAGAAAAACAAACTCTGAGCCACGATGAAGGGGAATTGTGGGTGGTCCCAGGAAATGTCCGAGAGGCTGCAAGCCAAGTACAGAGAGGGCTGAGGAAGCTCCAGCCGGCCTGGCCCAGACTCACAGGCCTGGGCACGTGCGTCCGCGCCTGCGCCTGGGCAGCTAGCAGCGGCGAGCACGGCGCCCTGAACTCAGCCCAGACCCACCAAAACTCGAGCGGCTCACTCAGAGGGAAGATGCGGCTGCCTCAGATTCCTTCCCCACCCCGAGTGTAAAAGCGCTGACGGCTGCCCTTCTGTAGGATTCCCCAGGATGGAGTCCTGGACACACAGCCAGCAGGTGAAGCCATCGCTGGGCCTGCTTCCAGACAGACGGGTCCTTCCTCAGCTCCACCAGGAAACAGGCAGTAGAGAGGAAGAAGCATTAGAAAAATTACTTTTGTGATCCTTTGTCAGACTGTGGACTAGTTTGAGCTTTTTAAAAAAATTTCCTTTTCCTACAACCTGCAATATTTCTTCCCTCAGATCAGACACTTTCTCTAAGTGTGGTGGGTAGACTGGAGGTTAATGCGTGGACAGAGGTCAGCCTCAGACCTGTCTCCTGCTCCTCCTTGCTCATCCATGAAAGCTCCTAGAGACCGGGGTGTCCCTGGGACATCTGGCTGCAGGCTGGGAAGCTATCTCCTTGCCTAACACAGCCTCAGCCTGGGTGTGCCCTGGACCTCATACGATGGGGAAATGGCTGAGAAATAACTCCCGGAATCCCTGTTTCTTTTTTTGACCCCATTAAATAATATGGGATCTATTCTTCAGAAATGGATGTCTTGTATGGATGCAATGAATCATATTTGAGAGGGATACAGGCTGTATGTGCAACCCTTCCAGAGTTTCAGCCTAGAACAAGTGAACAGTAGTAGGTAGCAAACACTCTGCAAGCTTTCTCCTGTTCCTACAAGCCGAGAATGGTTTGCTAAAACAAGAGGAGATGGACCTAATTATGATTTCAAGTTGTTTTTCAAGAATCTGTTATTTGGGAGAAGAGACATCAGACAACTGACCTTCTTAATTTTCTCATCTTCAAGTCAGAAACCATGCCTGCTACATTTCCATTTACTTGTTCCAATCCTCTGAATGTACAGCCAGGTTGGCCCAGATCAAGGAGACAGGAAGGTTCATGACCTTCCCTGAGCCTTCACAGTGTGTGGGGGGGTGGGGAGTCCCACCGTGGTGGGCTGAAGGAGGAGCCAGGGGGATTAAGAATGGCCAAGGATCATGTTAGAATCTTCATCATCAACTGGTAGGCATCATCAACTGGATAGACAAAGAATCAGATGCTTAGAAAGACAAACAATTGTTCAAAAGTTAAAGCCTAGACACACACAAAATACTATCAGCAGCCGTCTGAAGCCAGCCCGAGACTGGCTCTCTTGCTGTACACAAATATGATTTGAATTTATGGGTGCCTCATTATGCACTTAATATATATGATTGGAATTTAAAAACTTTGTTTATGAAATAATTTTGTATATTAAGGGTCGATTTTCCCCCAGGTTAGCTTTAAACACTGAGCTTCCCTGGTACGTATTTAAAATAGGCTTGTTTGCCAAGAAGGCTGACTTGGGAGTCAGCAGGCAGAATCTTTTCCTTCTGGGTTCCAAATGCCTGGCTGCCCTTCACCCCACCCTGGGCCCTGGTTCCATCTGATGCAGGGTACTGGACTTCCTGGGCCCCTCTCCAGGCCCACCACAGGCTGTCTTCACCCACTGCCTCCTTTTGGCCATTCATTCACCAACCCTATCCTCATCCCAAGCCAAATAAGAAACCGGGGATGGGTCTTCGAGATACAGGAGGAAACGACTATGAGACGGATAGTAAGTGCTCCTAAATATTCCATGTGCTACCTTTCCCAACTTCCTTTGCACTAAGTTGAGACCAAGTGAAGAGACAGCAGGCCGCCGCCTCCTCCCTCTCTTGTCCACCACGGTAACCTTGCAACACAAGGGTTGAGGTGGCAGAATCACAAAATGGACAATGCCTGGGTCGCTCAGTCACCCGATGGATGGGAGCCCACCCACATCAGACTTTGTATGAATGAGAAAAAAATCTTGGTTCTATTAAGCCACGGAGATTTGGAGAGCCGTCATTGTGGGAGGGGCTCAGAACTGACTAAGAAGAGTCAGTCTTCTACTGGTGAGGTGTTCTGGGTTGATACTCAATATTCCAGGTCATCCTATTAATTCACACAGTGAGAGAGAGGACAAGAACCAGAGAGAGACCAAAGAGGCAGAGTGAGGCAAACAAGAGGAAGCACAGAGAGGTTTCTCTCTAAATTGTGCATGTATTCTCAGCTCTCACTTCATCCTAACTGCCAGAACATTTTGGAAAGATTTCCATTAAAAAAAAATTATAATGAGGGGCCGGCCC